CCATATTAATCATCAACCTAGGACCCCTCTCCCTTTATTTGCTTTCATTTACTCGAATCTTTCATAAATGTCTGCCCTCTTTACTTTCCCTCAAAAGTTTTCAACTTACTTTCAATATTGTATGAGAACCTTTTCTATTTGAGCCCTTAATTGCCTACTTGATTATGTGAAGTCACAATATAACATGGCCGGGAACCACACTAGTGGATCTTGAGGGGTGCCTAACACCTTCCCTTCGAGATAATTTCTAACCCTTACCCAAACTCTAGTTCTTCAAACTCAAACTCTTCTTAGTTTCCTAATACACTTTAATCATTAGGTGGCAACTCTTCAATTCCAAAAACCCAAATCCCAAAAGGGAACGAGTTGTCCTCCCAAATATCGTAAACCCGATTTCTCCTTTAGAAAAAGGGGGCGTCGACAAGATCCCTTCATAGTATCTTTTTGATCATTTGTCGATTTTCTTTTTCGAGGATTTCGATCCCTAGAACCCAAAGGCCTACCACGCTTTAGGCGTGCTTTAGGTTCACTATCTCTCATACTAGTAGATGGTCCTACTGGGATATCAATTCGGATAGGCACATTCTCTACAGGGATATGTGACTTAGTTATCCTTTTCAAATCAGTAAATGCGTCTGCATTTGATTTGCTATATTCTATAAATGGATGATCTTCTGGACCTCCCGATTACATATAGGGGTACGTGGATCAAAGTGAGATAATGATGAAACTTTCCACATAATTTCTCTTTTGATTTCCTTTTTCTTTCCCCCTAATTGTGGGAAAATTATTTCATCAAACCGACAATCTGCAAATTGAGCAGTAAATAAATCTCCTGTCAATGGTTCAAGATAGCGATTAATAGAGGGTGATTCAAACCCAACATATATTCCTATCTTTCTCTGTGGCCCCATCTTACTGCGATGTGGTGGTGCTACTGGCACATATACAACACATCCAAAAATTCGTAGATAGGCAATATTTGGTTCATGACCAAAAACTAATTGTGACAGAGAATATTTATTATAATGTATCGGTCTTAGACGGATAAGTGATGTTGCATGCATGATAGCATGGCCCCAAATAGTAGTGGGCAATTTTGTTTTCATAAGTAGTGGTCTTGCTATCAATTGCAGGCGTTTAATAAATGACTCTGCAAGGCCATTTTGAGTATGAACATAAGCTACAGGATGTTCAACGTTTATCCCAACTGATAGACAATAATCATCAAAAACTTGAGATGAGAATTCTCCAGCATTATCAAGGCGAATAACCTTTATAGGATAATCTGGAAATTGTGCCCTTAATCAAATTATTTGGGCTAATAGCTTTGCAAACGCCAAGTTGCGAGATGATAGTAGGCACACATGAGACCATCTTGAAGATGTATCTATTAGGATCATAAAATATCTAAACAACCCATTTGGTAGGTGAATAGGTCCACATATATCCCCATGTATACGCTCTGAAAAGGCAGGGGATTCAATGTCAACCTTCATTGATGATGGTCTAGTGATTATTTTGCCTTGATAACAAACATCATAAGAAAATTCGTCATTTGTAAGAATCTTCAGGTTCTTTAATGGATGGCTACTCGAATTTTCAGTAATTCTTCTCATCATTATTGATCTAGGATGGCCCAAACGGCCATTCCAAAGCACAAAAGTATTTGAATCCATAAACCTCTGGTTTACGATAGAGTGTGCTTCAACTGTACTAATTTTTTAATAGTATAAGCCAGAAGATAAAGTTGGTAAGTTTTCTACAATGCATTTCTGGACAGAAATATTCTTTGTAATACAAAGATATTCCACGTTCATTTCATCTATTGTCTCAACATGATACCCATTTCGGCGGATATCTATAAAACTCAACAAGTTTCTTCGAGACTTGGAGGAGAATAATGCATTATCTGTAATAAGTTTTGTTCCTTTAGATAGAAATATAATGGCTCTTCTGGAGCCTTCAATCAAACTTATATTACCAGAAATTATTTAAACATTTACTTTTTCCTTATGCAAATAAGAAAAGCATTTCTGATCCTTGAATTTGGCATGAGTTGTTCCACTATCAATAACACAAATATCTTCATGATTTGTCTTTGATCCAAACATAATTTGAGGATTATCCATATTCTTCAAAATGACATAAATAAAATATATTATAGTAAACATCATTATCAAAACATAACTTTTATTTATGTACAACAATTACATAACCATACTATCTATTACAAACAACAAAATTTAAATATTTACATTTCTACAGATTCACTACCGATTACATGACTTATTTTTCCTTCTGGGAGTGCAAAGTAATCAGCTACATCCAAATGCATGAAGTCTAAATTATCTTCAGAAATAAAATTTGCTTCAGTATTTTTCTCTATCTTCTTCACGGAGGCTTGATAAAGCTCAACCAGGTGCTTTGGCGTACGACAGGTACGAGACCAGTGCCCTTTTCCTCCATATATGTAGCATGCATTTTCTGCATTTGGTGTTTGCACCGCTTCATGCTTTTGTTCCTTCCTTTTCCACTGCTGGTGGTGAGGAGGGTTCTTTGGTGCATTATTATTACCATGATTAGAGTTTCTTCCCCGACCACGGCCATGACCATGACTGGGGCCACGACCTCTTCCACGTTTAGCTTGGTGGAAGTTCATCTCATTCACTTTAGGGAATGGGCAAGAACCGGTAGGTCGGCTTTCATGGTTTTTCATTAATAGCCCATTATGTTGCTCGGCTACAAGAAGATGTGAGATAAGTTC